ATTATGTAATTTGAATTATATTAAATTATTTAACATTTATCATTAAAAGAGAGGTGAGTCCCTCTTATTGGAACCACCCCCCATCCAATGAGCTCAGTTTTGCAGTTCATTTGATGAGAGATGGGTCTTATATTAGAGTCAATTAGACTGCAAATCAAATGACTCAATGAGAAATCAGGGTTCAAGTTTTTTTGATTTTATATTCTTTCACAAAAGAAAATGCTTTTCAAGTAGTAGTAGTATTTTAATAATTTTAATACACCAAGTACCAACTGAACTTTTATTATGCTGTTTAACTTGACACAAAACTCTTTTTTATTAGGTTAGGAATTTTCAGTTCAAAATCATAATGGGCCAGTTGAATAGGCCCACTCTTCATGGGTTTATGAGGAATTGTAATAGAGACTGTTAAAATTCATAAGACCCATTGAAATAGTAGTTTTTTTTTTTTTTTAAATCCAATTTGTATTTTAGAGCACATATTCATAGTATATTAAATAAATTTTTTTGTTATAAATTATTATTAAAAAATAAAAATCAACTTTTAATTTATTAATTATTTAATTAAATTCATTTGACATTAAAATTAATATTAATTTTATAGTTTTATACACATTTATTATAAAAAATACTTTTAATTTGTGTCCTAACAAACAATAAATTAAAAAAATCCTCTTTTTTTTCTAGATAAGTAATAGTTTTTCCTTTAACACTGAAATGATTTTAGGATACAAAATCCAAGTTCCGACTGCACAGGCCAAGGGCAATTAAAGAGTTGTTGATTTTTCTTATCCTCTAAAGTATAGATATGCAAAATGAAATTGATATGAATAAATATATATATATATATATTTGGATTCATAAGCACGTCAATTTTTGTGACTTGACATAGTCCTAACATATCCCCCCTAACAAAGGAGATGAATATCCCACAACCTTTTCATATTATTTATTATAAATATGTACTTTTTAAATCAAATCATACATTGCACTTAGCCTTCAGTTCAGTAACAACAAGGCCACGTTGAAATGCATTTCTCCTCTTAGAGTAATGATTCAAATTCAACTTTTATAAACATGTTAAAAAAAAATCAAATCATATACTAAAAAATATTTAGTTTAAAGGGGTGTGAGAGATAAATTTTTTAATTAATTAAATTATAATATATTTAAATATTATAATTTAATTAATAAAAAAATTTATTATTCTTTTTTCTTAGTTAAGAAATTAAAACTTTAAAAGTATGATTTAAATCATAAATTTATCGAAATATTTTAAACAAAACTCATAATTTCTATATAAAGATACTTTAATAATTTTAAGGTCCAAACAATATTTTTGTACAATGTGAAAGGAAAAACAAAGTATCATACATTTATTGGTGTTTACATTTGGGACCTCCAAATCTTTCATATGACTCATCCATAATTGACCAATAGGAGATGATTTAAGCTAGAGACAACATTTCTTTAGTATGAAAGGGAGAATGCATTGGCAGCCACCGTATTCCGCAAGTGGATATAAAGGGCAGTAGGGCACCTTAATTAGTTCATAGCCTAAACACAAAATCCCACATTAGGAGATGAAGCAAAGGCTATTTCTTATTATTTTTGTCCATTTTACTTCTCATACTTTTGCTTAACGTAATTATAGAAAAAATTACAAAGATTTATAAAACATGTCATTAATTAAACTTTTATATTTACTCTTATTAATGAATGTAGTTGGGAAGTTAAGATTTCTTTCTTTTTAAGAATAAAGTAATTATTAAGAGAAGTAAAATTGAAAAAGAAGAGTTTAATATTATGTTGAAAATTAAAATTAACAAATAAAATAAGTCTCTTTTTAAAAAGCATGACAAGTAAAACAAATTGAAAGTAATATTACATACAACAACCATTATCAACAGAAAAATTGAAAAGGAAAAGAGCAATAGAGAATAATTACAATCTTTACTCAACTTAACTTTTTAATATTTCTAACATTGATTTCAAATAAAAATTGAGCATAGTATATAAGCTAGACCTCTAAAATATTAAAATGAAAAATATTACAAAATTATTTTTTTCTTTAAAAATAAGTTATTTTAATTCTAGTATTTTTTTAATGAAAGTTTATTCTTTTGATAGGCAAATAAAAATTATATACATTCATGGTATAATCTTTTGAACAACTCACACAGAAAGATTTCAACAGGAGAAAACATATCATACAAATGTCTACATGCAATCCCATTGGAATCCATCATTATGAGATTTTTACATAATATAAGAAAACAATGAAAGCATAACAACTCCATCCCTTATATAATTCCTAAGAAAATAAATCTTAGCAATTAATGAGGAGATTACTTGAGAAGATTGACATTTTATTATATTACGTTTTTAAAATCTACTTGAAAACATCATATATCATGTAATATCCACTTGAACAAAACTTTCACCAGAAATTTAAAAACTTAAGGAAGATAAAATTCATATTGAAAATTAAAAAAAAAAATTGAAAGAAAAACTTCTACAAATCCTAAGAAGCCCATCACTCAACATATGCTATTTTATTGAAACGGCGGAAAAGTATGCAAATTAAAGGAAATTGCTATCTAGAAGATGGAGGCTAATAATTAACATGAGGGGATACTGCACATGGGCGGGGACGACTTAGAGGTGACCAAACCAAAGCCATCCAACATTAATGACCGCTGGGGAAGTTGGTGGCATTAACTCTAATGTCTTCTCTACACCCAAACTCTGCTCATCTCTTTCCCATCAATTCTTTCTCAATCACCATTCATCAATGTCATTTCTTTGCTTTTCACCCTTTTCTCATTTCATTTTCTTTCTTGGCATACACTTTTGATGCTTCCATGTGAAAAACTTCATGCATTCCCTCCATTTTTTTTTCTTGGGATTTCATGCTTTGCTTTTCCCTCCAAGTTATTCAGTTCAACTCACAAGATCGCTTCTGGGTTTGACTGAGCCAGAAATTCCTTGCTAAGTACCCGAAAAAGGTTGGCATAGACATTTGACTTTGTACTCTGTTTATTTTGGGTTTTTCTTTTCCTTGAAAGTTGTAGTTGGGTAGATGAACAAACTCAGACGGATAAAACAAGGTATTGCTTGAATTATTTGGCATTATATATCTTTCTTATTTGAATGGTTTAGTAAACATCAAGGTTCATGGATTTGTGGTTTTCTGGTTTGTACATTGAATTTATTAAAGAAAAACAAAGAAAGATCTTGGCTTGATTGGTGGGTATGAAAATCTGAAGGGATAGATCAAAAATTAGCTTTGGTTTAGGTAAGGGATTCACCAATAAAATTTTTATTCTTGGGGAGCAGAAATTTGGTGTTTCAAGCAAGGAATTGACGGAGTGGGTTCAGGAGAGAAACAGCCATATAAAACCTGGAGTCAGTTGTTTTCAGGAGAGCAAAATTTCAGCACCAGTTGGACCTCAATCCTGATAGGAGATAAAGACTAACAAAATATCTACTCTTTCTTTGTAGAATTCGGGATTGGGGGTTTTCTCTGGTATTCTTGATAAGTTGATTTTGCTCGGAAAAGGATGGTTGGAAGCATTGAGAATTTCCATGGTAGTATGTACTCGAATGGGTCAATTCAGAATTTTAACGGTTTGGAAGAGAAACTTGATGAGCTCCGGCACCTTCTTGGAAAGGCTGACGGTGATCCTTTGAGGATTGTGAGTGTTGGGGCTGGTGCTTGGGGCAGTGTCTTTGCTGCTTTGCTGCAGGATAGCTATGGCCAGTTCCGCGAAAAGGTTCAGATCAGGATATGGAGAAGGCCTGGAAGAGCTGTTGACAGAGCCACGGCTGAACATCTCTTTGAAGTGATCAATTCTAGGGAGGATGTACTGAGGAGGTTGATCCGGCGCTGTGCCTATTTGAAATATGTGGAGGGAAGGCTAGGTGATCGCACACTTTATGCTGATGAGATCTTGAAGGATGGATTTTGTTTGAACATGATTGATACCCCACTTTGTCCTTTGAAGGTGGTGACTAACTTACAGGAAGCTGTTTGGGATGCTGATATTGTGGTGAATGGCTTACCTTCCACGGAAACTCAGGAGGCATTTGAAGAGATAAGTCAGTATTGGAAGGAGAGAATAACAGTGCCTATCATCATCTCTCTGTCAAAGGGTATAGAGGCTGCACTGGAACCTGTTCCCCATATTATAACCCCCACGCAAATGATTAATCGAGCAAGTAAGAGTTCTACCCTCTTCATTGTTTAATCATATAGCATTGTCAGTTAACTATAGGAGGAAGTAGATTTGGAGTTGAAGCATGATTGAATTTCACAGTTTATAAAGGGATTGAACACGGGGGAGGAAAACTGGAAAACTGCAGTACTTTCCAAAACATTGTTCACAACACTTAGGCATGTTAAGCAGAAGCTTAGGCAGTCCGAACATAGAAATATCTCATTTCTATATTGTAGTTATTATCAATGAGTTAATTCTTCTTCTTGAACAATCATTTGGTGACTAACTTGGACTAGAAAATTCATTAGCTTCATCTTATATTTAAATTACTAATGATGTGATCTGCCACCTAGAATACTGATTATCATTTCTCCCTTTAATTGTTC